GATGTTGTTGTTTATTGACTTAAAATGATCCAACCACTCCTTGGTTGATATATTTTCCCCTGTGTCCTCTTTGTTTCCGTTTTCTCTGTTTCGTAACTTACTAATCTCTTTCCAGAATGTTTTTGGATCCTATTTGCATAATTTAGAAATATGCTTCATTTTCTTCTCGGCATAGTGTTTCTTTGTTTTCTTGATTAGTCTTTTGTATTCTTTAATTTGACAAATGTATGTTTGTCTTTTGTCTAGCCGCCAAGGGTATTTCCTTATTTCAGCAGCAAGAGTTCTAATTTTTGATCTCATATCACGACATTGTTGGTCATACCATGGTTTACTAGTGTTTTGTTTTTTTTGCTATTTGAGAATTGTACTGATTTCGATGACAAGTCAGCTGTCGTCTTTATTATGTAATTAAATTCCTCGAGGACTTTTTCAGGTTGGTTGCTTGTATAAGGTTCTGACATAAATTGCTCAATTTTAATTTGTATCTGAGGAAGTTGAAGCGCATTCTGAAACTTTTCACGAGAAGTATCGTCCCAAATATATTTCTTTGGGTGTGCTTGGAGTTTCTCTTTATTCTTATTTCTAAATTTAGCATGGTTTGTTTTAAGCGAGACAGAGATCTGGCAGTGATCTGATAGCCAAGTTGGATTATGTACTTTGAAATATTAAACTGAAGAATAGAGGGGCAGACTGGCTATGCAATAATCAACGGTACTTGTGCCATTGTATCTAATACATGTAGTTTTCCCTGGGAGCTCGAGGTCGCCAATTGTTCTTCCATTTGCAATAATCATGTTAGTGGCCGAACACAAATCAATTAGTTCCCTGCCATACTTATTTTTAAAGTTGTCTGTGTTAAGTCTAGGTTTGATTTCTGTAGAGTTTTCGTCAAGGTCGTCAAAAATTTGTTCTTGTAGGCTTCCTGTCCTGGAATTCAAATCACCGAGAATGAGAACATACCCTTGATTATTAAATTTTGCAAGATCTGTCATTAAGTCTTCAAATATTGAGTTCTTATTTGTGGCGAATAATGGTGAATTTTCAGGGGGTAAGTATAGACATCCCAGTATCACATCTGCGTCCAAGCCGAAGAAATTTTTGTTAAGCTTGCACCAGAGGATGTCAGAGTTATTACTTGGTAGTTTGGAAATACATTTTGCGATCGTCTGTTTAAATAGGAGAGCGACCGCGCCGAAGTTTCGTCCGGAACGCTTCCTAAGTTTACGGTCACTCCGAAAGTGTTGGTATCCATTTATATGAAAGCTATCACCGGGCTTTAGCCAAGTTTCCTGCACACAAGCTATATCATAACTACAAATAGTTTCTAAGAAATCTACTTCTAAACATTTTCTAGCAAAACTATCTTGAATGTTCCTACTGGTTAAGCGTAAGGCCACTTCATTAGCCATAACAGACACTAGGAGAGAAAGTGCTAAGAATGATAAGAGCAATTACAAATGCTGCCTTAACACATTAACATGTATGTTATATAACGTTATAGCAAGTAAGTACTGGTACCTTATAATGTCAAGTATAAAAATACTTCAATGTAATGCTGTTTCTATAGTTTGACTTAACTGGATGACTTATATCTAATGTAATTTTATCAGTAAAACAAATACAAAAGTCACTTCCCTGTGAGGATGATGTCTTACTTGTCCGCATCAGACCGCATGTATACTAGTCCGCATGTGCTTTACTTGTCCGCATGTGCTTTACTTGTCCGCATGTGCTTTACTTGTCCGCATGTGCTTTACTTGTCCGCATGTGCTTTACTTGTCCACGGTTTTAACTGTCATTGTGTTGTTGGTTTGTCCGTATGTATTTAAAAGTTAGACAGCAGTTCTGACAGTTTGTAGGCCAAGTTGATCATCTTCTCTTCCGGCATCTGTGGTTTGGACTGGTATCCGTTGGGACGGCGACGCCAGTCTTCTGGTCTGTAGTGGTGATCCTCTCGGCGTGTCCGCTGGCCACTGTCCTGAGCACGGTACTGGGGTTGGTACTGGGGTTGGTATGTGCCTTGGGACCTTGTTTGTGCTGGCAGCCTTTGACCTTGTCGTGCTTGGGGTGTTGTTACAAGCTGTGTGTCTTGTGGTCTTTGTCGGCTGTCGCGGGATGTGCCCTCTGCAGTACTAGGGGGTTGTTTCACGTCTACAGTACGAAGGGTTTGTTTCACATCTGCAACTAGAAGGCTTATCCCTGTGACGTCATCCAGGTGAATGCCGTCGTGCTTGTAGAGATGTCTACTTGTAGACAGTTTCTTGTGGCGAACATAGATGATTTTGTCGTCATCTCTGGTCAGCTGTAGAACTGATTGGTTATAGTTCTTGATGTTTTTGTTTAGGTTGGAGTGGAGGTCATGTCCGCGCGGCAGTACTTGTGACAGCACGATCGTGGCATTTGGGAATGATGCCTTGGCGTGAGAGACTAGTTCTTCTGTTTTCTCCAAACAGACTTCGACGGAGGAGTCTTCATGCTGACTGTTGTCCAAATCATTTGATCCTACATGAAGTATGGCGTAGGCTGTTCCCGGGTCATTTACTTGCTTCAGTTGTTGGGTTGCATTGCTTATAGTAGAGGCTTTGACCTTGCTGGTGGAGCGGCGAGGGAACATCCTAGCTGTGTTGACTGCTTTCCAGATAGAGTCCGTGTATATCCTAATCTCCCTCGAGTCCTCTACTTGAACCAGTTGTTCCTCATGTCGGCTAACTGGACGTGGTTGTGTCGCTTCAAGGCCAGGTAGTGTCTCATCTTTTTCTGTCTTGTCATTTGCATACTGTGTGTCTGCATTCTCTCCTTCAATGGTGATACTAGTAGTTTTGTTGCTATAATTGTTCTTAGAGTTTGGATTCTGTCCTGTGCTCGGATAGTTATCGCAGGAGGAGGACTCTGTCGACGATCTTGCCTTTGAAAGCGCGAGAGAGAGGTGGAGAGAATTTACTTCTTTCTGTAGTTCTGAGATCTGTTGTTGTTGAGTTTCCGCCAGAGATTGAAGAGATTCGCACCTAGCTGTGAGGGTGGCCATTTCTTCATTTTGCTGACTTTCGGCATTCTTCCTTTCATTGTATTGTATTTTTCTGTTCTGCATCCAACTGGCTTTTCAATGCGCGTGAATACGAGGTGAGAGATTTCAATTCTTTTTCAAAGTCACCTTTTTGTTGGGTTTGTTCCTCCTTTAAAGCGTTCATGTCCGTCTGTAGGGTGTTTACCAGGTCCACGAGATTAGTATAGTGTTCCTGAATATCCTTAGAGATATGTTCGGTGGAGGGTGAGGTGTGCACGTCCACGCCAGGGGTCTTGTCTGTGTTTGGCGTCAGCTCTGATTGTGATCTGCTAAAAGGGCTGATCAGGTTCTGAACAACTTTCCTGAGTCTACTCTTGTTCTGTGGCGTGCGAACTGGGAGTTTGATCGGTGTTTCCTCCGAGTTGTTACTAGTCATAGATACGGCATCGTGCTCACCATACTGCTTACCTTGACCAAGGCCTTGAGGTATGGCGGTAGAGGAACTTACGGTGTCGGTAGCCTCGTTTCCGGCAGCGTCAACTTGGCTTGGGTCGCCATCTTGTCTGCTACTTTTCAGAGTTTCGTCAACTTTTTTTTCTTCGATCATAACAGTACCGTTCTTCCAAAAATGAATGGAAAGTACACATACGTCTTCGTCTTTTCCGTTTGTTGTTTTCCGCTCCGTGATGACTAGGACCTCGGCAGAGCTCGTCTGTTTCCACTCCACTTTTTGGCCATTTTGTTTGCCATATTCCTCATTGTAGCGCATTTTGCAAACATCGATCGAGATTTGGACTCTGTCAGTTGTCGTAGCAAACTTTGTGTCACAAGGGCTGGTTTTCGCGCAGTCATCGTAGTCCATGTGTAGGGTTTCGTCGGCCGGTACCTTAGACGCTGGGACGTTCCACCATTTCGTTGTTTTTGACCGGGTCGACGCTCTGGTGTTGATGTTTCCAGCCATCTGGGTGGTTCCTTGCCGATTCCTCTGGCATAGTCCAAGTTTATGATATCTGTGGTACTCAGACTTCTCTAGATATTATCAACTATGTGCATAAGGCAGTTGTAACTAGCTCTAAAACATTTCAGCTACGGAGCTCCTGTGACAGGCGTCCGTACATGGCGGCCATCTTGTAAAATTTCACAATACCAGCTTCGTATTCCTGTGGTTTAGTAGCATTTTTATTTTTGGCCGGAATTTTTTTTCGCCCGCGCGACTAATTTGGGGGTCTTCAGAGGATGCCATCCATAAAATTAAGGCGGTGTGGCCTAAGGAAAACTCAGGTATCATTCTGCAGTTCTCCGGTAGTTCAATAGGTGGCACTATTGCACTGCAACAGGCAGCCAGTACATACTGGGAGCAATGTGTATATCATAAATGAAAGTCCACCTATTTGAGGCAGGTCATATTGAAGTTAGTCCTCACTGTTTTGATGTCACTTAGGCCATGTTGATTTGATTATATGGATGACATCCTCTGGGAGCCCCAAAACTGATGCGCGCGTGTGAATAAAAAAAAATTTGCAAAAAAAAAGTTGTTTTCATTATGAAATCTACGTGGTCATGAGGGTTGAACAAATGGGACAGAATTTGGTTTGGCGAAAAATCTAATCTTCAAGTTCATTTCCTTACAATTTCGTCTTTTTTCGTTTGATTTTGGCATTCTACAACATTGGTATAGTTTTTACTTATTTTTTTGTAACTTACGGTATATTTTTGCTCATTTTGCAACTGTTTTGTACGATTTACAGTTTGGTTGAAAACTTTTTTTTTAAACGGCCGAAAATTCATGCGCGCGCGGATGTCATCCATATAATCAAATCAACATGGCCTTAGATGTTAAAAAAATCTGGAATCTTTTTTCAGGTGTTCTCATCTGTTTTGTGGTGTCCGTAGGATGTCATGCAGGTAAATACACTGTAGTTCAGCAGAGCATGGGATTCCAATTTGAATGTGCGACTTTTCATATTTTTTTTTTATTTCACTCCATAGGTGCAACATGTGTGGCATATGGGCGATATTTGGCAGTGATGAGGATGTGTTCAAGCAGTGCGCCAGTGCGCTCAGGATTGGACACCGTGGGCCCGACTGTTTCCGTCTCGAGAACATCAACCACTTCAAGAACTGCTGCTTCGGCTTCCACCGATTGGCCATCGTGGGTGACACCTATGGCATGCAGCCAATGAGAGTCCACAGATATCCCCATATATGGTTGTGCTTCAACGGAGAAATCTACAACTACAGAAGGGTAAGATCAATGTTAGATTTGTAATCGCCTGTACTTTTTATTTGCTTTTTCTCTGTAATGTCACTTTCTAACTTAACTTAACTTTAACTCATTTTTGCTTGTCTGTGCGTACACAAATGTATGTGTGCGGGTGCGTGCGTGTCTTGATCCCCGTGTGTGTACGTGTGCGTGTTTGTGTCTGTGTTTGTGTGTGTTTGTTACCTTCGCCAAGAAGGTTATGTTTTCAGAGGCGTTCGTGTATGTGTGTATGTGTGTCTGTCTGTCTGTCTGTAAACACGATAACTTGAGAAGGCTTAAATGGATTGTTTTGATACTTGGTAGGTGGGTAGGTCTTGATGAGACCTCAAAATGATTGGATTTTGGGCCCCCTAGCGGCTTGTTACGGTACTGATCTCATGATCTAGACATGCTGGGGTGACGAAATGTGGATGGTAGGGATGGTTGTGCTGGGGAAGAAATGTCGTGAGTTTGGGCCCCCTAGCGGCTTTCTCTGGAACTGCAGGGCTATCTGTTTGAATACATTCAAAAGAGGATAACTCAAGAACCGGTTGACTGATCGTCTTGATTTTTGCAGGTAGCTTACGTGATGCTTAATATAATTATGTGACAAGTATGCAAAATATGGATGTAAGTTGCATAATTTATGGGAAAAGTCTATTCTATTAATCAGCTGCATTCCATCAAAGGACTATTGAAGCTTGTGACATTGGTAATTGAGAACGAGATAAACACAGGCAGATATTGATTATGTAAATGAAGACTTAATTTGCATAATTAATGAGAAAATGTTATAATTCTGTAAAGATAACTGCCCGGAAGTTCATACTTGTAGTATTTGAAAGTTCAGTGAAGGTGAACATCATTAAATATAATGTATTCAAATTAGGACCTCATTTGCATAATTTATGAGGAAATGCTTGAATGGCATTGTTTATAATTATAAGACTGTCTTTTGGTTGCGAATATGACAAATTGATATAATTCATGAAAATGAGGATCCTATTTTCACAATCAGGGGGAATAATCTACAAATTGTCAGCCATAAAGATTAACATCATTTGGCGAAGGTATGAGATCGGGGAACTCTAGTTTATGTCTGTATGCGTTCCTGCAGTTCCAAATTGAACACAACACTGCCATACATCCCATTGCTGCCGTGTGTGTGTCAACTGAACAGCAGAATTGGTTTGGGTTGAAGTCTGTCATCTTTGGTCAACTTAGTTAGGCCACACCAAGTAAATTTTATGGATGACGTCCTGGCGCGCATTGATTTTGGCCTGTTCCTAGAAAAAAAAAACAAGAAATTCCGCTTCCTGTAACCATGCTATAACTATGACCAAAGAGTCACAACAGTGCCGCAAATCGTCAGATTGACATGAAACCCGTAACGCGAAGCCTGTGGCTATTGACAGGATCGTCCTGTCAATAGCAGAAAATATTGCACTGCTGACAGGATCGTCCTGTCAATAGCAGAAAATATTGCACTGCTGACAGGATCGTCCTGTCAATAGCAGAAAATATTGCACTGCTGACAGGATCGTCCTGTCAATAGTAGAAAATATTGCACTGCTGACAGGATCGTCCTGTCAATAGTGCAGTATTTCTGCTATAGACAGGATACGTCCTGTCAGCAGTGCAGTATTTTCTGGCTATTGACAGGACCGTCCTGTCAGCAGTGCAATATTTTCTGCTATTGACAGGACGATCCTGTCAATAGCCTCAGGCTAACGCGAAATGGGTAAAGAGCACATTTGCCGCAAAACAGTACAGGACGACAACTGCTTTTCCACCTGATTTATTGCTGTTTTGATGATGACTAAAAGACTTGCTTGTTACACTGTGTCACCTTATTCAATTTGTGTCCTAACATTTGTCGTCTCTTAGTATATTTTTAATCTAGGCATCTTGGTTTAGGGCCCTTCTTGGGTTTTTTTTTCGCCCTCTCGCATTAGATTTAGGGTCTCCAAAGGACGTTATCAATAAAATTTACTTGGTGTGGCCTTATCAACAATGTTGCAGGTGACAGAGCAGTTTGGGTTCAACAATGAGACAGGCTGTGACGGTGAGGCCATCATCAGTCTCTACATGCACGGTGGGATCGAGTTCACTGCCAAACACCTGGATGGAGTCTTCGCTTTTATCCTCTTGGACACGCAGCAGAAGAGGGTGTGTATTTTTTTTCCTCCATAAAAAAATGGAGGTAAAATAGAAGTATTGTTTTTGGTCGGTCAGTGTGTGTGTGTCTGTGTGTGTGTCTTTTCCCGCAAGTACGTAGTCACCATAACTTCAGAAAGCATTTATGGATTGTGTTGATAATTAAAAAGTCAGGAGATTAGAACTTCATTTGCATCTTTCATGAGGAAATTCTGCAATTCTTGTGTGTGACATGTGTAACTTAGTTAAAGGTTAACATCACGGTACATTTATTATGTTTATGCAGAGGTTATTGACTGTTGAAATGTTGAAATGGAACATTGCATTGGAATAGGACTTTCATGAGCATGGTTCTGAGTATGCAGTTTGGGTTAAAAAAAACATAAAATTGATTAATATGCTAATTACAACCTTACTTCTATAATCAATGAGACAAATGAAAACGAGTTATGGGGTCTTCAAATTCTTGTTCTCGGTTTGTTTACCTTGATGTTTTTGTTTTAACGGCAAATAGAAATTGTATTCGAAGCAATGTTATGCACAGTATTGTAGAATACACAATCTTCATGTAT